CTGAGAATGTAACGAGTAATAATATTACCCAAATTTGATTAGTAATGCGTTATATTACTGCGTTACAGCAAAACGTAATATACTACTGTAATATTATTACTTTTGTAATGCGTTACTCCCAACACTGTTCAGGGATTATCCTCAAACTTTAGTCATTGTTATAAATCTTATCATTGTATGTGCTGATACCAAGTAGCAACAAACAGGTATTTATGAAAGTATTATGATGGCTTTTGTTGCTATATAGTGATTTGTAAGAAAATAAAATTGATCATGCCTTGTTGAACTGTTATATAGATAAAACTGGATCGTAAGTTAAAAAAAACAGCACAGAAACGTTTAAGTCATCGCCTCATTTTCCATATATATTCTTGTCCTTCTTTATAATTTAAGGAGCTGAGCTAAAATGCCTGTTCATCTAATATTCTCCCTATATTCTGTGTTTATGTGCATTTATTTACAGGACTTCTTGAAGTACTACACTAAAGCAGGCAGACAAACAGAAGATCTTGAGGTAGGTGCAGTCTGTACTGGCTTATAAGACTGAGCAAAAGAGAGTAAACTCATTCTCAGGTGACATACTGAATTATTATTCTGTTCTCTTTGTGTCCTTATCTCAGAGGGCAGTAGAGGTGATGTGTTTTGTTCCAAAGCGATGTAATGACATGATGAATGTTGGAAGACTACAGGGTTTTGAGGTAAGATGAGACACAAATAAACTGCAGAAATGTAAATGTTTACTTTACCTTGGACTGCTCCAGTATCCAAAATGAGCACAGCACGAGTCCATTATTTATAAAATAATTATCTATTTAGGCCATTTATGGTTAGTTTTATTAGCTCTCTTCTACCTATATTTGAAGGTAAAAATGCACTTGAATGACTCGTGATTGATTGGGTTCATATAGGGTCAGCTTAGAGCACAAGGAAAACTCTTGCAACAGGACACCTTCACATTCATTGAGAATGAGAACAGCATCCTCTCCCGTCCAAAAGAGAGACGGGTGTTTCTCTTCGAGCAACTTGTCATCCTCAGTGAGCCAATCGACCGCAAGAAAGGATTTTCCCTGCCAGGATACATCTATAAAAACAGCATCAAGGTGGGAAGCAGAAGAGAAAGTAAGAGATTGTAGGCCAAACAAATATGAGGGTAAATGTTTATTTCTACATTTGTATCTTTCATAGATTAGTTGTTTGGGCATTGAGGATCATTGCCCAGATGACCCATGTCGGATGGTGTTGACATCTCGTAATATTGATGGAAGCATGCAACGATTAATTCTTCGTGCATCATCTCCAGAGATCATAATGACCTGGGCAAATGACATCATACAGATGCTGGAGACACAGCGCAACTTCTTAAACGGTATCACCATCGTAATACCTTCCATGACCTTTCTGTGACCTTGCCTTAGAGCAGAATTCTTAATGGACACTGTTCTGTTTCATCTACTCTATCTCCCCTGTCATAGCCCTGCAGTCTCCCATTGAATTCCAGAGGAAAGAAATTAAATCTCTCAGCCTGGGAAAGAACTTGACAACTTCACCCTCACTGAACTCTGGCCTGCAACCTTTTAGCTCTGCCTCCATAGACCGCCAAGGTCTGCCCTGTATGCGCTCCTGGAGTTCTTCACAACCTTCTATGCCTCATTGAAAGGTTAGAGTTTGCTGAATTGTTAAGTTGACTTATCAGAATTTGTTCATTAAAAGCCCAAAAACATAGAGTCCAGAGTTCCATCTTTTGTAGAAAACTGATATTTCATTTAAAGACTTATGATTTCACTCTGTTCCTGTAATTTTCAGCTTTCTGTCAGTCCTGTTAAGGCAGTTTCTCATCTTCCTCTTCCCTCAACTCGTACAGTGGCCCATCTGTTACCCTCATGAGAACATTATAAAGAAGTAAAGGAAGACTTAGTCCATTTTTGAGTTAATTATGTCTGATAAAAGACTGAATTTATTTAATTATCTATTATAACCTAATTATTCTTCTGACTGCCATTTCAATATAATAATTCACACAAACTGTAAATCTATCACAACCTTCAATCTTTGACAATGTTAACAATTTGAGTATTTTACACCTACTAGATTACATTTTCTGCTACCATAACAAAAATTGAATGTATT